TATATTAGAAGAATTATCATCATATATGCATAGGCGCGCGTACATGTCTCGTGGCTACGTTTAAAATAAGTTTCTTTTTTTATTTTTTTTTTTTTAATTATTTTTTTCTTTTTATTTATTTATTTTTTTCTTTTTTTTTTTTTTTTGTTAAATAGGCGTATATCACGTAAGAGCTTTGAAAAATATATGTGTATATCGCACGCGATAAATAGTTCTCTATTAACGATTAGGTAATACTCGCGGCATATAACATATAGAATTTGTTTGATAAACTTCCAATAAACAGCTTGTAGTTATTTAATACCATTCAACCGTATCATCATTATCATCATACAACGTATCTGAGATTCGTGATATTGAATAAAGACAAAGAATGCTTTGATATTTAATTATTATATCTATTTGACTATTGATTTTTTATGAATAACGATGTTGCGTTACGCGAGAGCAGAAGCAGGTAACGAACTGTGTTTCGGTTTGGTTTTATTTAAGAAAACCTTGATGAATCCATTGAAATCAGCACTGACAAGTACGTGACCACCGCAACCTTTAGTACGTTGCTCTACTACAGGATCAACTGGTGCATTATTCATATTTGAATGTCCTATACTTTTAGAATCATCCTTCCCTTCCCATTGCTCCCTCGCTTCTATCTGTTTAATGATACTATCTGGATTTGGTGCAAATACTGCACAAGTGACAACAGCATTGTGAGCTTTTATTCCTTCCCAAAAGTCATTACGATCTCTACGAACGCTCGAAAATTTCGAGTAATCGTGATGAGTCTTCCATATGTAAATGCATTGATTTTCTGATCCGCTTACTATGTATTGACCATCCGGACTAAAACTCGCTTTTATTTGACTGCTTACATTAACGTATCCCTTGTACTTGCAGGATAAATTTAAATCTCTTAAATCGTACAAACGTATTCGACTATCGTTCGAGGTAACTAGGATCTTGTCCTCGCCAGGCATCGGTTCGATACCACTTATTTTTCGTCCGGTTGAATTTTTTCCTCTCGTCGAACGTACGTCTATTTGAGTATGATACTTTAAATGATCGGTGTTATAAAATATACATCGACCATCGTAAGAGCCAACGACCGCGAATTTGCCATTTTGACAAAAGTTAGCAGCCGTAATTAATTTTGTTTGGCCATCTACCTCGTTCCATACAGCTACCTTCTTATCGGGTATATTCCAGAGACGAAGTTTACCATCGAGCGAGCCGGAAAGGAAATATCGATCATCTCGTGGATGAAACACTATCGCTGTTACAAAATCTATATGCTGAAAGCAACATAAGCATTCCTTTCGTGATATATGCCATAGTCTTACGGTCTTATCCATAGATGATGATAAAACGAAATAGTTCTTCGACCATGAAACGTCTAGTAAATCTGACGTATGTCCTGTATACGTACAGAATGGCTTTGGCATAAATGGACTCTTCGTTCCTTCTATCTCACTGAAGGCACTCGCTACGACGTTAGGATCCTCCATAGATTGCTGAGATACTAAAGATTCTTGAGACGGCGTTGGACTGACCTTCTCCGCGTTATACTTTGTTCTCATATCTTGGAAATAGGAGAATGCATCTCTTAAAACCCAAATTCTTAAAACACGATCCTGTCCTGCAGTACCTAATAATCTACCGCATGCTGAAAATTTCATACACCAGACTGGACCAACATGTTCACCACTAAGATCCTGTACATGTTGCAAACAACTGAATTCGTATGGGCCTTTGTGACTATTGGATGCTTTTAATTTAATGTATTGTTGTTCCCCAGGATAAACGTCGTCGACAATATCCATCACATCTTCTTTGTGTCTTGCGTGTGATACTTCTTGAGCGATTGATTTAGCTTTGTCCATCGTTTTCTTAACCGTAGATCCTAAAAATCGTTTTAGCTTTTGCGTACGCTTACGAACTCTACCAACTGTAACATCCTCGTCAGGTGGTATACTCGACATTTTACTATCCACGCTTTCCTCATCACTTTCTTTCTCTTTTTCCAAACTGGAATTACTTATGTACTCCGAGGTAAGTCTCATTATATGTAAAGATAAAGGATTAATGCATTGTGGTAATTTATCTTCGGCTATGCTTAATGGCACTCTTTCTCCTGTATCCAAGTTGAGTACAGTTACTTGTTCTAATATTTCCTGAAATTGTAAAGTCAAGACAGATATTAGATCTGTTAATTGGTTTTTTAAATCGATATTATTAAGATCGATTATTATTATAATTACCATATCTGTAAGACGTTTTCCTGAATCAGTTCGCGTTCTTACAAACATATTTAATTGTTTCACCATATCTTGATCACCAGCAGATTTTCGTCTTTCTCTAGAACCATGTGGACTAAAGCCAGGAAGTTTATGGGGACCTAAAGAATATCGACCAATACTGTTGCTCGATATAGATCCCATAGGACTACTACTAGATTTTTCACTAGATCGTACGCTAAGTATTTCAGCTTTCATTCGTTCTATTCTTTCTAGTTCTTCGGTCGACGGTCCTTCTGCTTTTGATTTATCTTCATCCTAGAAAAATAAATAATAGTATTCTCAAGATATTACTTATTTCCATTCATATATTTTCTCGTTACTCACTTGTGGCTTTACAACGTATTGTCCTTTGGTCGCAGATCTTATATCAAGAGAATGTTCGAATTCTCTTGTAATAGACTCAATGGTACTTGCTGGACTTGGTAAAGGAGAAGCTGGTACTAAGATTTCTGTGGTAGGTGGCTGAAATTTGTATATTCATGTAAAGAAACGTTTTTGAACGTTTAATTATGACAAAATTAGATAATAGAGAATTGAGAAAGATTTATCAAACCATTATGTTCTTACGAATGAATGATAGGCTGCATATAAAAAGGACTAGAAGGAATTAGGTGTATAGGTCTATTTGTTGTTCTTTTATGTAGAAGAAAAAAGATATTAAAATATCTTACAGCAAGATCGGTAGGCGTTTGCACTTTAGATTTCTTCTTACGTCTTGGTGGTGCTACAGGCACGTCTACTTTCGTACCATCCTCCAAGGCCTTCCCATTATTTTTTGTACTCGCGATGACGTCGGGTTCTTGAAGCATCACAGTCTTGTCACTTTGCGGACGAGAGACATAATCGCATCTACCGTTAACAGAGGATTCCTGAAGGATATCCCCTGATAAGGTAAGGACGCTTGATGACTGAGACAGCTTACCAGACGCAGTATCCTCGTCTTTGTTTTGAATACTAGCAACGGAGGACATCTGGTTTTCACGAGTAATGACAGTCGATCCAGAACACTGGGCTACACCTGGTGCAAGCATCCCAGAAATATTATCCGTTGGGCCAGCTAAAATTCGACCTACTCGGCCTAAAGAAGTCATACTTTGCAGACTGAGAGTATCATGTTCTATTATTCGGAACGGGTGGGTCGTTTTAGAAGGCATCGGATATACTCCTTCGATGGAAGAAGTTTGACTATCCGGAGGAGAACTATTGACAGGAATATCATCATCTTCTGTCTGCATACGTTGTCTCAATTCACGAAATCTCCTTCTGCCCACAATCTTATCCGTATGTGTCACCTTTCCATCTTCCTCCTAAAATATTAATAGATTGTTAATTTTTGTTATTTCAGATGTGTGTTATTTATTAATATAACATATATAACATTATGTGATACTTACTAAAAGTCTATCCTTGCTCTGTACTCTTTCCAAAACTACATTATCTTTAATATCAGAAGTCGGTTTAGGGTCTGCGGGTTTGACAAAAACATCATCCACTATTTCTTTAGTAGAATCTGGTACACCCTGAATTTGTATCTCTGCGCTTGTTGAATCACGCTGTCTGACTTTCCTATAATACAATTATTATTACATTAAACGATGAAATATATTCATGTATATGCAAAGAACCTGTTGTTTCAGGTACAGATCATTGACTCATATTTCTCAATATATAATACATATAATTGAAAATATTGACAAGATAAACAAAGGAATAAACTGTAGGTGCTAATTATATAATAAAATAATTAACTAAAAAGATATTCGTATAAGTTATTAATACAAAGTATATTAATGTATTGAAATGAAATAGCATTAATGTAAAATAAATTTGAAATGATATGATAAAGAGGCGTAAAAGTAATAAATAATGACCTCGATACACGATGGAAAGAATCGTCCTCCGCGTCGAAGAACTCCTCGGAATCGCTGCTTCCAGACATCGTCGTCCTTGGTGAACGATCGCCGATGACACTCTGGTCAGCATCGGTGGTAAGGTCGCAACGCGCGTCACGCGATCGCGAAGACAGTAGTCGTGAACGTAGAAGTAAGGTAAGATGTTTCAGGACGCAATAGGAAAGAAGGAGACATCATTCAGTTGACTCTCTGTCTATCTCTCTTTCGAGGATAAAAGAGAATAAGGAGGAGCGAGGATGAGGCGATGCCGATTATTAGAGGAAGCTTACGCGAGAGACGAATGCGAGGGTGAAGCAATGAGTGAGGAAAGTACTAGCACGCACACGCGTAGAGTACATAAGTATTGGTATGTGAATACATATCCAAATACATAGGTACTAGTTATACGCACGTCGTGTCGTTTGTACAGGGCTAAAAGTCCGAGCAGAGCTGGTGATATGGAAGCAGCAGCTACAGAGAAGTGAGATGGAGAGGGTAAAAGAGAAAGATAGAAAAAAACAGAGAGAGAAAGAGAAAGAGAAAGAGAGATAGATAGATAGTAAAAACATCCATGTCCAAGTAGAAAAATAAAATCACTAATTTTTTCTAGGGAATTGTTGGGAACGCTCTGAAGTTAGTCGAGGTGGCAACCCTGTTAAAGGAATCCAACGAGAGCGCCATGTTTCTCGAAGCGATATTGCGATTGGTCGAACGAAACGAGTTTCTTAATCTCGAAACTCGTGCCGTTGCCCGCTCGTCGGCATGCCTGCCGCAAAGGAGGCGAACCGTCACACAAAAGCAAGATGGAGGATCTCACAGTAGAAGTATGCGGCGAAAACGGAGCATATTATAAGGTTCGTTCTGTGGAAAGTATAGAAAATGTTGAGAGGAAGATGAAGGCCGTTGATAGTACGTGCTACGAGCCGTGGAGAGCTTCTAATATAACGTTACGCTCGCTCGTACTTCGCGAAAGCGCGCACCTCAAATGTTCGCGAGGTAACGCGGCTTCCTCCGACGCCATGTCTCGTTTGACAGGGCGTGAATTTTTCCTACGAGCTAACTTTTTCGTCTATCGTAATATCCCACGTTTGGGTATATACTCGTTAAACTCTTACGTTTAATCGTTTCACCTAGAAACGGATCCTATCTACGGGTTAACGATGGCATTGCTTAACGCGTGCCGCTGTCACGTCCAGTCTCGATCCATGCCACTCGATGCGTTTTCATCATTTTTATTTCATACATATTTACACGATTTCCTTTTCATTTTTTTCAGGCCTTTGTCACCGATGTCTTTGACGAAGAAGTTCTGGTAACTTTTGAAAATGAGTAAGTTTCTTCAACTAACTATTTCCGAGCTCTATTACATCTATAATATTATAAAAGGGCTTAAGACTATAATCTAGAAAATACATGCATACTAGAAATTGCATCATACCCAACGTTTTCTATTACCTCGTGCTTTAGAATTCTAAGAAATAGCTTATTAATTATTTATTTTATCGCTTACCAACGAGATTATTAATGGAAAATTATCATTTTATATTTCTTAACATGTTCATATTCATGCCCATGTTCATGTCCATGTTTGGTCATCTCTCTTGCCCATTAGTCTTTTGTTTGATGCACTTGTTAAAGCAAAGAAATATTCATTTTTTTTATTCACAATTATATTATTTTCTAATGCCTTTACTTCAGTTTAATCATATTTATTTCTTATAATGGCATATTTGCTTGTTAAATAATTAGAATTTTGTTTAAACGTATATGCTTTTTTTTATTTTATTTTATTTTATTTTATTCTATTACAATTATATTGTTATAATATAAGAAAAGATACACACACACATACGAATGCGTTCTTGTTTTATTTGCATATTACACAAGCCAATATTATATGCAAAACTTTTGATTTATATTAATTTAACTGCATAGCCAAAAGTTTTAGCATCTTAAAAAAAAAAAAAGAAGAAGTTCATACATTTCATATCTTATTTGTACTATGTATCATTTAGTATGACTCAGCATGTTATATGACATTTTAGCTGGCAACCTGAGTCTAAATTCCCTTTTGCTCAAGTACGATTACCACCAAAGGATGGTATTAAAGCAGATTTTCAAGAGAACCAAGAGATTGAAGTATTTTCTAGATCGAATGAGCAAGAAGCGTGGGGGTGGTGGAAAGCCCTTATCAAGGTTCGTAAACATTCTGCATAAATATAGAATAAATGAATTCACAGAGTACTTTAAATGTACTCATGTATTATATAAAATCATGTGATACCATGCAATTCACATTTTTATTATCTTATAGATGATCAAAGGAGGTTTTCTAGTAGTTGAATACTTGGGATGGGATTATACTTATACAGAAATTATAAGTAATGAACGGCTAAGAGTAAAAAATCTCAATCCCCCAATTGACAAAAATACATTTCACAAGATCGAAATTGAAGTACCTGAAGATTTGAGAGAATAGTAAGTAATAGATTAAAATAAAGATATATACAAATTGTATATTATATTTTAAATCTGAATTTTAACATTGTTCTATGAATTAATGTAAATTTATTCTTTTATTGAAAGATAATAAGGATGGTATATATAATTTTATTATAATTTGATTATAGTGCAAAAATGGACAATGCCCATAAAGAATTTCAAAAAGCTATAGGGGCAGCAGTGTGTCGATATGTGCCTGATCGAGGAGTACTGCTGGCCATCTCCCGTAATGAAAACATACATCGTCACAGTACCATGCTCCAAGAAATGCATTTTCGTAATTTATCACAAAAGGTATATATATATATGCTTATAGTCTAATAATCAATTGTAATTATTTTTAATAAAATGTTTAATTATCATCTTTGGTGATAATTTTATCACATTTTCTTTGTATAATTTTGTATACACATGTTTATAGGTTCTGCTGTTGAAAAGAACAGAAGAAGCAGCTCGCCAACTCGAATCTACAAAACTTCAAACGATGGGAGGGTAAGTCAATGATATAATAATTTATCTCGTTAATTAAAAGTATGAATCTTGTGACATTCATCACCTGCCCTTATCCACGTACTGTCCTCATAACCATCCTGTCTGTGGTTTGCATTTACTGGCAGAAATATGTTCACAAGATTTTTAACATATGGCTATTTTTGCAAGCAGTGTAAGCAATATTTTATTCCAAATTGACGCTTATTAATTATTAATTTAATCATTAATAGGATTCATGATTAATAATTAGAGATCACATTGCTTTGAAATTAATTTGAAATATTAATTCTCTTACAGAATGATTTGTCTGTAGAGAAATTAGTTAATGTAATCGTTAATTGTTAATTTAATTAAATATTACTTACAACACTGTTTACAAGATTAATTATCATATAACTTTATAGATATACAAAGGCACATTATTACTCATTTTTCATGTAATAATGCAATCTCATTTATCTTTCATTAGTACCATAACTGTAAATAGCACGCATAAAACATATAAGCAAAGTATAATAAGGAAATCTATGTGGAGTATAATTTATTGCATTAACAATTTTACACATATAAGCATGTTTCTTTGATAATGTGTAATAAAAAAAAAAAAAGAAAACAATTCTTAAAGAAACATGTTTCTTAGTGCAGTATCATTAGTTTTGATTTTCGATTATAAACGAAGTTAATTTACTTCGATGGTTTGATGCATCCCTGTACAATTATAACATCCAGTAAGATAAAGTGATAGTAAGGAGTTATTTTTTACGTTTTGAAAAATTTTGGTTTATGGTAGACCGCATTATAGAAACAAATTATTTAAGAAAACTGACCAAGTATAACTCATATTATTTTCTACTACATTTCAATGGCATTAAATTAACTAATTTCTTTCCATACCCCCTTTGGCAACATATATATTTAAGTTTTTAATTAATGTAATTTAAATGCGACGCGCGGAGATAAAAATATTCAGTTGATTTTCAAAGATTTTTGCTGCAGCCATAATTCAAGCAGTAAGCTGTTACCTCCCATTGATCATAGTTGAGTAAGTATACCAAAATAAAATGCCAAAATATTGAATAATTTGATGCAGGTATGTGTGAGTTGACTTTTGTGTCTAATATAATTTAATATAGATAATTCAGTAGATCAATTGGAAACAAGAAATGACACACCCATTTATATTATTTATGAAGGAACAAACAGACAGAATGGAAGGGACATAGGGTAGGGCCATCTAATATAGAGATTTCACTGAGCTACACCAGAGTTTCTTTCTCATTTCAGCAAGTTTAGATCTTCAAACTTTATATATCAGCGTGTCTCAGACTTTGAGGCAGGAGTGAGAACAAATTCAAGGTGAGATCACAGCAGCGTGGTTTAGATATAAGTTAGCTTACTGTATGACAAGCTACACAGCTGTATTTTCCCATTGAAAGATAAAATTACACTATAAATATGCATGCTTCGGCGTTGTGTAGTTCTTTCACAGAGATCATATGCTTTTCAAATACACTGATACAAGATCTATATATATATTTATATTTATATTATTTATATTCTTTTATTTTTATTTTTTTTTTTTTGTTCTTTTAATCATCTTGACAGAAGATAAGAATTTTCTGACGTTGTAAAATATGTATATTATTATGTGCTCCGTAGTCAATTTTGAGTGATTGTGTAATATATAGTAAACCGATAAATAAGCGTGTAGCTGTGATCAATTTTTTTTTAGTTACAATATTTATCTTTAAAAGTCAAGTAGAGTTTTAAGTTCATGGATTTATCTTTTAAAAGGAAACATTAAACCTTGGCCTGCCGATGTTTGAGAAACACTGATATATTCCATGTTTTGCACATATATATTTAAATAAATGGTGGCTCTATCCTATGCTGATACATGTACGCGAATATACACATGGTACCACATACTGTATTATCATCTTATAAATAAAGGGCATTTCCTCCAATGATCCTCCAATGATCAACAATGTTAATCAATAGAAATTTATATGTGGTGACTACTTTTATCAAAATTTCTTGTAGCCAAATTTTACTATAACTTCATCATCACTTCCATCAATTCATACACCCTTAACATTTCATTATGTATTCTATATATATATATACAAATATATTATTATAATATCATGATTTTTAATATTACAGTTTATAATTGACTTTGCATGCCAATTCGATGATTTTGAAATGCATAATTTAGTGTCAATATAATCATTTTTGTCAATCATTTAAACATCAATATTTATGCACTTTAATTTCTTTATTTTACAGTAAATGTTAATTTATGTATGTTCATCTTGCATGATTATTTTTTATATGCATTACTATACATATTCAGATAAACTTTCGGTAAAATAAGAAAATATTATTATTCTTTTACATGATGTATTTTTATTGTCGAAAGTTATTAACTCGAATCTGCCAAAATGCAAGCCACAGTTAAAAAAAAAAAAAAAACGAAAAAGGAAGATATATTTTATAAAACAAACATGTCGCATTTGGCATGTTATGATATATGAATATATAAATATATATATATATATGTATTTATATATACATATATCTTATTTTATATATTTACTGATATATATAGTTAAGGCATGTTACTTTCTGTGTGATACGATCATTATTATCATATTATAATATTGGAGAGTTGAAAATATCAATTAGAATTATTTAATTAATATACATTTAATTAAATATCATTTAATATAACATTAAATAATTCATTATCAACGATGTACGTGACGTTGGCACATAATCATAATTTCATTTTATATTTCAAATAGGATAAATCAATCGATTATAATTTTTAATCTAGGAGACCTTAAATTTGTTCACATGGAGAAACCACATGTTATCTTTCCTTATCATCTCCTAATTTTATTTATTTATTTATTTATTTTCTTTTTTATATAAATATAGTGATGTCTGATATCAACACAGTTATATACAAATGCAAATTGTTACGATAAATATTTTGATGTTTGTAGATACACAGATGAATTTAATGTTCGAGAAGACCTCATGGGACTAGCTATCGGTGCTCATGGTGCAAATATACAACAAGCAAGAAAAGTAGATGGAATAACAAATATAGAATTGGAAGAAAATTCTTGCACATTTAAAATATACGGAGAGGTAAACATTTAATTATATTAAATCAACAATTTGTTATCTCAAGTTAGTAATTTTACTTCGATAAAGCTGTTACATTGTCATATTTATTTTAATACTACAGTATTTATCAGATATCTATGATTATGTTTGTACATTAATAGAAATTTATATATAAATACTTTTTCTTTTATTCTAGACACATGAAGCTGTCAAAAAAGCTCGTTCAATGTTGGAATATAGCGAAGAGTCCATTCAAGTTCCACGTGTACTGGTTGGAAAAGTGATTGGAAAAAATGGTCGCATTATTCAAGAAATTGTGGACAAAAGTGGTGTAGTAAGTATTACTTCTATTAATTACTTTCTTTTTTTTTTTTTTTTTTTTTTCTTTTTTTTTTTCGTTACAAATTTATATTGATAAGTTTTTAACTATTATAATTGCTTGAAATTAAAGACTGAAAGTAATATTAAATATGCTTGGTTGCATTAATTTTCATTTTCAGTTGATATTCTAATCGTATTATGGTCAGTTCTGTTTATATAGTATAGGGACAGTATATCATAGACCCTCCTCATCTATTGGTGTATCTACATTTTTATTCTGCAGGGTATACACAAACATAATTTATTATATTCACTTGTTAAAGTTTGTCCCGCAAACAAGACTAATTCATTTTACAAAATGTGAAATCTCTGTGAATTATTAGTTTCAGTTTAACAGCCCTCAGAAAATTGGCAAAATCGATATATGTTTCAATTGAAAATGGAAGTTATAAATTAACATAGAGTTACGTTGTATTTGATATACGTGCATTGTTTGTTCTCGGTAGATAACAACTGGCTCGAGTGGGAATACTCATACTGATAGAGTAAGTATATTACATTATATTGTTTGTGGAATTATTTCATCTGGTTCATTGTATCAATTGAATATGTTTGTAAGCACTTACACATCTTACATGAACCACTCGGGCCAGTTTTACTTTTTCAATAAACACATCTTTGTGATTTATCAATATTAAATAAATAATCACCTGCCGGAAAGATATCGTTAATCATATTGCATTATGAGTAAAAATTGTTTAATTTAATGAATATGTCTCTATTTCTCTCTTTTATTACATTATTATGATTATTATACATCATCTGTTTTCTTATTTTATATAAATGAATGTATACAATAACTATGAAGCAAAATCTCATAGTATATATAGGGTCTTTGATAATGCCAAAATTAATATCAATCCATATATGTGAACACATATCTTTATATGCCAAAGTATATCTATTATAACTTATAGGAAACATAAGAACATTATATGAAATATTGCTGTGACAATTAATTCATTTGATTTGATAAATAATTATCTCGTTTCAACTTTAGTATATTAAATCTTTCGCATAACAGAGTATTTACTTAAAAGAAAAAATTATATGCCACAAGGCTTTTCAATTTTCTATGTCAATCAGCAAAGTTGACTACAGTGTGGTTACAAAATGTAGAGCTGTTATTACAATATTATTAATGCAAAAATAACAGCCTACATTATACTGCATATTTAGATAAATTTTACAGACTGATCAACATTTCAATTGACGGAAATAATAAACAACGATGACTGAAAACGGATGGTATGGATATGAAATAGAATTACAATCTGTATCGGTAAAGCTAACTTTTTTTAATGGTGTTTAAAATTTATGCTAAGACAATATACATTTCAGGTACGAGTGAAAATAGAAGGCGACAACGAACCGCAACCGACGATCCCGCGAGAAGAAGGCCAAGTACCTTTTGTCTTTGTTGGAACAGTTGAGAGCATTGCGAATGCTAAACTTTTATTGGAGTATCATTTGGCACACCTAAAGGTATATTCGTAGATTTATCGTTATCCTTTATAATAAATATAGGAAAGATATTATACATTATATACAAAACAATATGTTTAAAAAGTTTAACATAAATACATCTAAATAATCTTTAATGCAAAACTATGGATATTTGATTTTCTAGGAAGTAGAACAGCTCCGACAAGAAAAACTAGAAATTGATCAGCAATTAAGAAGCATGCATGGCTCAACAACTGGACCAATGCCTAACTTTCCACCAACAAGGCGAGGAATGGTTACCGGACCCGAAGAGGGTGGTAGTGGTCGTGGTGGACGTGGTGGCCAATCTAGAGGACGGGGAAGGGGTAGGGCCCCTGCCAGACATAATGCCGGTAATGCTATTACTGATTACATCAACAATATAGAAAACACGCATAAACGTGACGGCAGAGTTCGTGGTGGATCTGATAACAGAGACATTAACAATAGAAATCATCTCATTACTAAGTAACAAACAATTCGATCTTTATTACTGCTTTGTGATATTATGCCGAATTTTATTGCATTACACTATTTCATCATAAGCTTTACTTACGATACATTCTTCGTCAATGTATGTGTTAATTATCTGGCCTCCTCTCTATAAGTAATTATTTAAAATGAAAACATGTGTTTTAAAAAAAAAAAAAAAAAAAGAAAACTATACACTTGTATCAGATAATTGTTTGGAAATATCACGAAAATTGTTACGATTTAATTACACATTTTGAAGTA